AGAGAGACAGAGAGACAGAGAGACAGAGAGACAGCGAGAACTGACTAGTCAGAAGAGGAAAATACACACACAGATAAGTAGATGCTATGAGAGGGTTGGAGAAAATCTCTTCACTAGGGGCACTTAGGTTCCTGCTGGCTTTCTACCCACATATATCCTTCTTCAAACAATACTTGCTCAAGATGGCCTAAGTGAGTAGTTGGTCCTTGTGAGGAAAAGAGCCAAAGTATCATAAGTAGAAGAGGGCATTCCAGGTAAGACAGAAACGTAGAGTAAACTTGGTTTGGCAGTAGACCAGTGATGAAGAAAAAAAGGTCTGTGCAAGAGACAAGTATAGGAAACAAAGTTGAGAGAAGAGGATAATTTTCGTCCACCATTCAATACATAATGGGGAGCCACAAAAAGTTCCTGAAAGTGGAAGTGACATAATTAAAGCAGTGTTTTAAGAAACATCAACCTCAAAGATTTGTAAAAAATGGAGTAGAGGATGGGTGCATGGCATGCCTGTAATCCCAGCACTTTGGGAGGCCAAGGCAAGAGGATTGCTTGAGTCCAGGAGATTGAGACCACCCTAGGCAACAGAGCAAGACCCAGTCTCTACCAAAACAAAAATTGGTCAGGCATGGTAGTGCATGACTACAAGTCTTAGCTACTCAGGAGGCTGAGGCAGGAGGATGGCTTGAATGTAGGAGTTTGAGACTGCAGTGAGCTTAGATTGTGCCACTGCACTTCAGCCTGGGCAACAGAGGGAGATCCTGTCTCTAAATTTTTTTTTTTTTTTGGAGACGGAGTTTTGCTCTTGTTGCCCATGCTGGAGTGCAATGGCGCAATCTCGGTTCACTGCAACCTCTGCCTCCCAGGTTCAAGTGATTCTCCTGCCTCAGCCTCCTGAGTAGCTGGGATTACAGGCATGCACCACCACACCCAGCTAATTTTGTATTTTTAGTAGAGATGGGATTGTTCCATGTTGGTCAGGCTGGTCTCGAACTCCCGACCTCAGGTAATCCACCCACCTCAGCCTCCCAAAGTGCTTGGATTATAGGCATGAGCAACTGCACCTGGCCTAAATTTTTAAAAATACATAAAAAAAGAAAGAAAGAAAGACAATGAAGTAGAAAGAGGCTAGAAAGGGCTTTACAGTAATTCTGGCCAAAAAATTATGAGCATCTGCTAGAGACAGAAATACCATTTGACCCAGCAATCCTGTTACTGGGTATATTCTAAAGGAATATAAATCGTTCTGTTATGAAGATACATGCAAGTGGAAAAGACATGGAATCAACCCAAATGCCCATCAATGATAGATCGGATAAAGAAAATGTGGTACATATACACCATGAATACTACGCAGCCACAAAAAGGAATGAGATCACGTCCTTTGCAGAGACATGGATGGAACTGGAAGCCGTTATTCTCAGCAAACGCAGAAACAGAAAACCAAACACCACATATTCTCACTTATAAGAGGGAGCTGAATGGTGAAAACACATGGACACATAGGGAGTAAACAACACACATTTCGGGTTGTCAGAGGGATTGGTGGAGCTAGAGCATCAGGAAGAATAGTTGATGGAGGCTGAGCTTAATACCTAGGTGATTGGTTGATCTGTGTACTAAACCACCACATCACACATTTACCTATGTAACAAACCTACACATCATGTGCATGTACCCCAGAAATTAAAATAAATGTTGAAGAAAGAAGGCCAAGTGCAGTGGCTTACGCCTGTAATCTCAGCACTATGAGAGGCTGAGGCGGGTGGATCACTTGAAGTCAGGAGCTCAAGACCAGCCTGGTCAAACATGGTGAAATTCTGTCGCTACTAAAAATACAAAAATTAGCCAGGCATGGTGGTGGGCACCTGTAATCCCAGTTACTCAGAGACTGAGGCACAAAAATCACTTGAACCCAGGTAGCAGAGGTTGCAGTGAGCCGGGATCATCCCACTGCACTCCAGCCTAGGCAACAGAGCAAGACTGTGTCTCAAAAAAAAGTTGTTACCAGCATCCGAATTAAGATAGTGAAAGGGATGGAGGAAAAGGGATACATATAAAACATACACAAAAAACTGGTAGAACATGGTGAAAAAATAACTCTATTCAGCCAGCAAAATATTTAAATATTTATCTATAACTGTATTATATACCCGGCACTGTTTTGGCCACTAGGAATTTCCCAATGCACAAAACCAACAAAATTCCTCATGAAATTTAACTTCTAGTTGGAAATATGGATAATAAACAAATAAATATGTAATATATCAGGTAAGATAAGGGCTTTGAAGAAAAGGAAGAGAAAAGGATAGGAAATGTTGGGGCAGGAAAAGGGTTATTGTCTTATGTTTTTTATAGGATGATCTGAGAAGGTCTCTGTTAAATTGACATCTGAATAGAGATTTATAGGAGCAAAGGGAATTAGGCATGCAGACAGATTGGGGATAGGGAGCCAAAAGAAAATTGTAAAATTCAACACTGGTGTCTTAGAGAAAAATGACACCAACAAGAGGGAATATGAAGAGCCCATTATTTGAGGATGAGAAAAATGCTTTTAGCTATGTTGTGACTGAGGACAGTAGAATATCCAAATAGCAATTGGAATATTCAGCAGGCAGTTAAGAATGCAGGCCTGCAAGCTAGGGCATCAGACCTAGAGATAATGATATAGGAGTCATTCAAAGAAAACTAATAGGTGAACTTGGCAAAAACAGACGAATACTCCAAAGGAAAGACTGATTAACGAAGATCAGCGTGCGAGGGACTATGCCTTGGGGACTGTGATATTTAGCATGGGAAGATGGAGTGAAATACTTAAGAGGATAGAGAAGTTGCCATAACCTCTCTGGCTCCTCAAGGCTTACAGAATAAAATCCAAATTCTTTTGGCATGGCATTCAAAGCCTGCAGGTTGTCTCTCTGTGGCTGGTACAGAATATAAAAATAAAAAATAAAATAAAAATAAAGCCTGCAGGGTGTGGCTTTAATCTGCCTTTCCAGCTTTGTCTCTCATCACTGCCTCCTCCTATTCTTCTCAGCATGCCCAACAAGCTGTACTCTTCAAACATGTCAAATTTCTTTTTCCTGATTACATCTTTTCTTTCACAACATGATGTTTTTACTTGAACCTAGAATCTCATAATGATTACTCTGTGATTTAATCACAGATGTTTAAAATACAATGCAGATCAAATCAAATACAACTGCAGATCAAAAATGGGCATCCATGAGAAGAAGAGAACAATGGAAGGATAGAAAATTAGAAGTGGGGATTAGGACAGAGGATAATACAAGCACATTTCTAGAGGAGATAAGAAATCAAGTTACTCCTCACTACTTTTTCAACACTGGTTGATATTATTCAATTAATTTCTGAACACAAAATACAGTATCATTGAACAATACCTAACCTTACTATATGCAATGAACTCTGATAAGTCCTATACTATTCTATCACTCACCTCCTGGCAAAACCAAAAAGGTTAGCTAAAACTTGCTAATCAGACACAACCCATAGTTTGAAAAACACCGCTATCATGAATCTTGCAGCTGGCTAGTATCTAAACCTCCTGCCTATTTATTCTTCACTGTGAGTAGTATCAGCAAGTATCCCTTATATTAGTCAAAGGCATGATATTCCTTCCCACCTGTACACTGGTGGGTACAAAGACCCAGGGACAGTTTAGAAATTATTCAGAGTAATTCATAACAGTCCAATGTTAGTGATACCCAGGTATCCTTAGCTATCTAACCAGATGGTTTCTGAGGCATGAACCCTGGCTGTGGTTCCTGCTATCTAACCTCCCTGGGTACCTGCCCAGTTTTCCTTAAACTGTTCTTGTGGCCCAGGTATGGTGGCTCATGCCTATAATCCCAGCACTTTGGGAAGACAAGGCGGGAAGATCACTTGAGCTCAGGAGTTTGAGACCAGCCTGGGCAACACAGTGGAGCCCAGTTTCTCCAAAAAAAAAAAAATTAGCTGGGAATGTGGCACGTGCCTGTAGTTCCCCAGCTACTCAGGAGGCTGAGGTGGGAGGACTGCTTGAGTTTGGGAGGTCAAGGCTGCAGTGAGCTGTGTGATCACAGCACTGCACTTATGCCTGGGTGACAAGAGTGAGACCCCATCTCAAAAAAACAAAAATTGTTTTTGTGCTTAAGTTAGTTAGAATTGAGTTCTGTTGTGCTAAACCTACTTACAATCATGTCCACATCTTTTAGAGTGAGCAAATCATCAAACCAGCATCATAGCTATACCTTCCATTGTCTTGGGCAGATCTCCAGCTCTTTGTTTTGTTTGTAGCCCAACAATATCAGCTAGAAAATCAGATGATGGTGGAGGCAAGCGGAATTTCTGAAAATATATTAACAGGTTTTAAAAAAATGGTTGAACAGCTAAAATACTGTGAAAGGCCTGGACTTTTATTGTCAGCTCAGTGCTTTTAAAGTTCTAGACAGTAATTGTTAGCATTTTAAAATGAGAACTGTTTCCTTAATATAGAAAAGTGACTAAGTAAATGAAGCCACACAACGCTAATCGATCCCCGTGATTATACATCGTAAAAAAGACAAACTTTAAAGAAACGTACAACTTAGACAAGAAAAGTCCCTTTGTATTTTCAAAGTTCTTCCAAATCTATTATTTCATTGGAAAGCATGCCATTGCCATCAGAACAGATGGTACCACAGGGCAAAAAGGTTGAGAGCTTCAGCTTCAGGTTCACCTGGGCTTAAATTTCAGCGCTACCACTTACAGGCCAGAACTTGCGCAAGTTACTCAGTTTCTCACATACAAAATGGAAATTAAAAAGTATCTATTTATAAGACTATTGTGATAACTGAAGATGATATGTGTAGCATGTGGTCCATGGTTAATAGAGAGCCTGACACACAGGGAGTGCTCAATAAATGAAAGCAAAAAAAGAAAATGGTGACCCAGGGAAGTTAAATTAGGGCTCACCAACTCAAATGCCTTCAGGAATAAATGGATGAAATGGGTCACTAGGAAATGGAAGAGGCTATGGGAAAATGGAAAGCAGGTGCCTCTTTTTAAAGATGACAACTGCTATTCAGTTCCATATACTGTTTTAAGGGTGCCCAATCTTGTGATTTTTTTAAAGAGAGGTAGAAAACACAGCTTGTATATATATTTTATAATTTCTGAAAATACCATAGCCCAAATAAAATAGAACAATATCAACCTAGGAGCTACAGATTATAACCTGGGAATAAGTGTTTGCCTAGATTTCCAAAGAAAATCAGAGACAAATCTACATGAGGCCTCTAAGGTCCTTTTGCTTTATATATCCCCTACTGTTTGTTCAGTTAGGTTGCGAAGGAGCATGGTCCCTGACACATGTATTAGTCTCAGAATGGGAGGACAGACTCAGCCCCTAGTGCAAAGTTTTCTTAACTTACATGTCTGAATGCTTTTCGAAGACATCCAAACTCCAAATAGAACCTGTAAAAGTGTAGCTGACTCATTCCCTGCAGAACAAAAACCACTACGTTGTTTAGGTGGTTTTGATGAAAAAGCTGGCACCAGCTGCCGAGAAATCAAACCAACACAGTTAAGAGAGATGGCCTTAAGTCAGTTACAGGCATATAGAGGGGAAATAGGGGAGAAGGAGCAGGAAAAGCAGTGCGTGAGAGTTAATAGAATTTATCATCATTCACTATCTGCCTGAAACTGGAAGACAGCCATTATTGCACAGAATTCAAATAAAGATCCATAGAGATAAATACTTATTGCATTCAAATCAAGTAAAATACCAAGCAAAACACAATGCATTTAAATTCACTGTCCTATTGATTAAGATTTGTTTGGAATCAAACAAAGTCATCCCTAAGATCCCAACCTACTCTGCAGTCCTTCCTAAGCCAGGTAATCAAATGGCTGGCTTTAAGAATTTCAGTTTTGACCGGGCACGGTGGCTCACGCCTGTAATCCCAGGACTTTGGGAGGCCAAGGCAGGCGGATGACTTCAGGTCAGGAGTTCAAGACCAACCTGGGCAACATGGTGAAACTCCATCTCTACTAAAAAAATATACAAAAAATTAGCTGGGACTGGTGGTATGTGCCTATAATCCTAGTTACTCTGGAGGCTGAGGCAAGAGAATCACTTGAACCTGGGAGGTGGAGGTTGCACTGAGCGGAGATTGTGCTGCTGCACTCCAGCCTGGGTGACAGAGCGAGACTGCATCTCCAAAAAAAAAAAGGTTAAATCCTGCTCCACCCGTTTTTGTAAATAAGACTATTGAACTACAGTCATGCTTATTTGTCTGTGTGTTACATATGGCTGCTTTGGGCTACAATGGCCAAGTTGGGTAGTTGCAATAGAGACATAAAACCTACCAAAAAAAAAAAATTTTAGATAAACTGACAGACTGATGGCTGTAATTGTTGATGGAGAAGATAGTTCTCAAAGTAGCTAGCCAATTCATAACAACCTCTCCCAGAAAGATGTGTGTATTATTTGTATACATACAAAACATTTTTCATAAGACACTTAATAATGGCACCAACAATATCAAAATAGTAAGATTCTCTTTTTTTTTTTGTAGGGACTGGGTCTCACTATATTGCCCAGGCTGGTCTCAGACTCCAGAACTCAAGCAATCCTCCCACCTTGGCCTCCCAAAGTGCTGGGGATTACAGGTGTGAGCCCCTATGCCTGGGCTCTCTTTGTCCTTTATTTGTAAAAGAAAGAAAAAAGATTAACTAGAATTCTTCACAAATCATTGTTATTTCAACTGAGTCTGCATCAGGTGAAACAAACCAAAATACCTATAGTAGCCAGACAGATACTGTAAATACGGGAAGCAGGCCAGGTAGGACATTGGAGAATACATGTCCCATATAATGGGGGAGACCACCACTCAGCTTTGACAAATTGTTGCCATGTGGGAATATAGGGATTGCTGCCATTTTTGAGTTTTTGGAAGAAGAAAAGGTAGATTTTTATATAGGAATTTCCAGAATTAACACTTGGCAGACATCATGAAAAAATTTAGGATGTGCTGTAGAGCAAAAAAATAATGTTGATAAGCCAGTTTGAAACCTCTGGTTTGAATGATAGAGCCTTGGGAGAGGTAAAAAAAAAAAAGAAAAAAAAAAGAAAAGAAAAGAAAAAAGAAACCTGTGGTCAATACCCACCATTTAAGTTCATTTCATACCTGGGTTTTGGAACATTGGATTTGCCCAGAACTGCATACTTCAGCAATTCACACAGCTGGTCATGGGTTACTTCACAGTTGTCAGTAAATAAAATGGTAGATAAGCGGGCTTTCTGCAAAGATTAATCAGGGCATAGCAAACAATTATTGGTTATCAAGAATACCAACAAAGTTAGTTATTAAATTATTCTAGCTTCTGATTACTTTAACATCCAGGTATATTCTAACATAAGGAAGCTCTAATTAATTGAAAATGATGGTATAAAATAACAATATGTGATAGGTATGACATTATTAATAAAATATTGAACTATCATTGACACAAAATCTGAATTATAGATACTTGGTTACATGCTAGGAATAGGATAAATAAAACATAATTCATGCTCTCACAGAGTCCATTCTACTAGGAGGAAAAAGCAATAGCTAATTCCAACATAGTGTGAGTAAGTGCTAATCCAAAGGTATAAGAACAAGGAGTCTAACTGCTTTAGGGGTCAGAGAGTTTGGGGAAGGCTACTGAGATGAAAATACTGAGGCTAAGCCTTGAAAATGAGTCTACCCTGTTGGTGGGAACATCACATTCAACATGTAGTATAGCTTGGCAAGGAGCCAAGATTGCATGTTGCATAGTAGCGGAGGTACGAGGAGAGGGAAGCAGGAGCCAGATCATAGATCAATGTGGCCTAAGCTAATGATTGAGAATTTATCCCTGGGCAACAAGAGTTCAGTCAAGCTCCCAATCCCTTTAAAAAGGCTTTGAACTTATACTTGTTTTTGTTTTTTCTCTTCTGAGATAGAGTCTCACTCTGTCACCCAGGATGGAGTGCAGTGGCGCTATCTTGGCTCACTATAACCTCTGTCTCCCAGGTTCAAGTGATCCTCCCACCTCAGTGTCCTGAGTAGCTGGGACCACACATTAGCTGGGACCACAGATGTGTGCCACCACATCTGGCTAATTTTTTTTGTATTTCTGGTAGAGATGGGTTTTCACCATGTCACCCAGGCTGGTCCTGAGCTTAAGCCATCTGTTTTCCTCAGCCTCCCAAAGTGCTGGCATGAGCCCCCACGCCCAACCTACAGTCACCACACCCAGCCTATATTTGTTTATTAAAGTAATTCGTGTTTGTTATAAAAGATTCAATAATAGAGAAGTGTAAAATAAATGATACACAATAGAGAAATGAAAATAAAAGTCACCTCAGAGATAATTAAAAGTACAACTCAAAGGTAATCACCACTTTCCTTTTGGTCTGCGAGGCAGCAGAATATAGCAATTAGAAGCTCAAGCCCTAGAGTCATACTACCTGAGTTCAAACACCAGGCTCTATCATCTTGGACCAGTGCCATAGCCTTTCTAAGACTCAGTTTCTTCATCTGGAGAGTAATTATAATTTTATCTCATTAAATAATTGGGAGGACGAATGAAATAGTTCAAGTACAATGTACTGAGGCTAGTGCCTGATACAAGTACTTAAACATCAGATAGTATTGCTAATTTCTTCCCATGGTCTTAAGTTAATGTTAAACTCTTATATTAGCCAGACACAGTTCTGATCACTTTACATGCATTAAATAATTTAATTCTCACAACTTTTTAAGTGTGTACTACTATTATCCCCATTTCACGGATAAATTGGAGAAACAGACAGATGACAGAACCAAGACTGGAATGCAGGCTTATCTCTATACTATATAGCCCCCAGTGGATTTTATCAATCATTCTTTTTTGAAACCAACTCCCTACTCCCGAACTTAATCTGTGAGTATCTTTCCATATCAGTTTAAAAAAAAATAACACAGGCCGGGCGCGGTGGCTCAAGCCTGTAATCCCAGCGCTTTGGGAGGCCGAGACGGGTGGATCACGAGGTCAGGAGATCGAGACCATCCTGGCTAACACGGTGAAACCCCGTCTCTACTAAGAAATACAAAAAACTAGCCGGGCGAGGTGGCGGGCGCCTGTAGTCCCAGCTACTCGGGAGGCTGAGGCCGGAGAATGGCGTGAACCCGGGAGGCGGAGCTTGCAGTGAGCTGAGATCCGGCCACTGCACTCTAGCCTGGGCTACAGAGCCAGACTCCGTCTCAAAAAAAAAAAAAAAAAAAAAAAACACATCAATTTTAATACTTGAATAATAGTCCATTTTCTAAATTTACCTGAAAATTTATAATATATCTGAAAAAAATTCCTTATTGATAACACTGTTTTGTTTTTTAAATTGCAAACAACATTATGATGAACATCCTTGTACAGACACCTTTGTACATCTATCTAATTACTTTCTTAGGATCAATTGCCGGTTCAAATGAACTCTTGAAAGAATATGCCAGTTTGTTTTTACCAAATAAAAACATGAAATTAATAAGGTGAGACTGAGCAAGATGGAGTCTATACGGCGGTGAGTAACCCTGGTTGCCAGGCATGGGATGTCAAGAGCCGGAGTTGGGTGAGGGTGTCCTGCAGAGGAGACAGTCCAGGACTAGGAGCAGAAGACCAGGACATTCATGCAGGAGGGTGCTCAGGTGTGGGGTGTCAAAGCCTCAGCAGCACAAGGAGGTCACCCATACAGGAAGGAAGGGAGGGCAGTGAGGCCAGATATCAGATGTCAGAAACTATTTAGGGTAAGGAGGGCATCAATGCTGAGGGACAGTAGTGGTCTGTTGCAGGATTTAAAGCCTGAACAGGATGAGGGTATAAACATGAGAGGATGGTGGCAGCTACCTGTCATAGGATGAGGGTGCTCACAAAGGAAGATGACCTGGTACCAGGGAAAGCACATATGGGCCTGGAATATCTTTTTGTGCCAGAAAGTAATGATGTGCTCAAAGAACGGTGTTGTCATGTCAAAAGTCCACAGAAGCTAGCTTAATGACAAAATCTTGGATATTTAAAGCATCACAATCCAGTAAAAGATAGAAACACACTGAACAAAATAGGTACTATTGAGTTCATACTGATAAAAAAGTAAATGCATAAGCCCAAAATGTTTGAGGAAGCACATTACAAAGAGAGCTGGGAACAGTGGCTTGGGCCTGTAATCTCAGCTACACTGAGGCTGAGGTGGGAGGACTGTTTGAGCCCAGGAATTCCAGACTAGCCTGGGCAATATAGCAAGATCCTGTCTCAAAAAAATAAGTAAGAATGAAAATTACAAAAAGAAAAAGATAACTTTAGAGAAGTTTAGTAGAAACTACCTTAATCGAGTTATCAAGGTTAATATCACCAGTAACAGGACAAATCAAATTGTGTACAATCTGCAAGGGAGCAGAGTATCACTCTTGTGATATTCCTGCTAAAGATGTGTATAACCTGAATCTAATCAATGAAGAAACAGACAAATCTAATTTAAGGGACATTCAACAAAATAATTGGCCCAGGATTATTCAAAAGCAATAAAGTCATGAATATCAAGGGAAGACTAAGGAACTGTTTGAGGGAGACATGACAAATTTAACACAATTCTAGACTGGATCTTATTGCTAAAAACAATCTTATTCAAACAACCTACAGACAACTTGGATGGCATCTGAGGAGCAGATGGTCATAATATATCCATGTTAATTTCCTGATTTTGATGGTTGCACTGTGATTATGTAGGTTTATGGAAAATATATAAGATATCTTGGCGGTGGATGGAAAAAGACCATTGTGTTAGCAACTACTTTCAAATGTTGGTGGAGGGGAGGTTTTGATACTGTTCTTACAATTTTTCTATACGTTTGAGATTGTTTCAACATAACAAAATATGTGATTGTCAGTCTCCTTACACTTCTTACCACATGAACATTAAACTTTTTTTGCAAATTCGATAGGCAAAAAAACTGGAATCCCACTTTAATAAAAAAAAAATTTCAGCTGGGTGCATTGGCTCATGCCTGTAATCCCAGCACTATGGGAGGCTGAGGCAGGTGAATCTCTTGATCCCAGGAGTTGGAGACCCTGTCGCTCTTTAAAAAAAA